TCCCTATTCTTTCAGTCCTCATGAACCCATCGAGCCCAAGCACACGTCCTGCGCCGATGCGCCTGTATGGGGGAATAGCTCTCGGATCATTTCCACCGTACTGTCTGATAAGGGGGTCGCCTCGCTTATCAAAGATGTATGGAACATCTTCTCCAGCCTTCCGCTCAGTCGGAAGCTGGGCAGCCTGGGACAAGGGGGATCTACCAGGTCTATGGGGTACGCCTTGCTCGGTCGGACGGCCGCGGCGCGTAGTGTGCCCCTCTACTGTCGCCTCTCCAGCAGCTTCTTGGGAGCTCTCTTGCGCCTTGGGCCTGAATGACGTGAACTTAGGCACAGATGAGGGTTTTGTCTTCCCATGAGACGACATAGCTGTGCACAGCCTCATTCATTATAGACTGTTACTGTTACAAGGTCTTACTCATCTAGCTTTGAAGTTAGCAGACCAGCACCAGCAAGTCAAACACAACTCATTTCGTTGAGATGAAGTCACCAAGCTGCTTCAAACTCGCAGGTGCGCGGCAGATGGCCAGAGAGCAAATTGGGTTTAACCTAACCTAGCGTTTTTGTGGCCATCGCCCATTCCACTCTTGTTAGTCAGCTGGTTACCTCTTTTACCCTGTGCAACCAATTTGACAGGATGAGTCAAATACAGTCATTTTACAACCAGAAACATGGATCATCTCCTTTTTTGTTCTTGTAAGTTGTCGCACCCGCGTTTGACTGACTCAGGCACTCAGTTTCGAGCTGGGCGGACACAGCATAAAGAGGCCAGATCAAGCCATGCCTTTATGGAAGTTGAACATGTCTAACAGACTACCTAGGAAGTACCTAATGTGCTTAATGCATCGGGGCAACTGCGTGGATACACTGAACAGAGAGTGAGGTGGTCGGTTACCTAACGTGCCAGCAATAGAGGGAATAGACGCGCATAGAGGGTCTTTGCGAATCTCTAGGTTACCCCCTTACTTACAGTACAGCAGTAAACCTTTCTGTCCTGACACACCTGATTTGAAGCATTCCCAGGCAAAGTCAGTCGGTTTCAAGATGAGTACCTCAACCTTTGTATTTAGTGCATCCCATGACCTCGAGCAGTTGGTAGTGGCTGCATTGAAGCAACTATGTAGGAGAGGTAGTGTTATGGGGTATGGTGTCATGGGTTCATACAGGCGCTACATACTGCTGTACATCATTGGTGCATCAGCATACCATACCCAACCAGGTACCCCGGGTTTGAGTGGGGGCCGCCAGGAATTGGGGTACGCAGCTGCAAACTTCCAAGTTGGTGGCCTCGTGTGATACTTGTACGCCTGCTGATCGGATACCCTGATTACTTATTGTGACACCCAACCTCACGGTTAGTCAGCTTCGCTTTCCTTCTCACCATCTACAGACTTCTAGGCAAGCGGCTGTTTCCTCTGTCAGTCGACTTTCAGATCCAAGCAGGAGGATGGCATAGATTAAGGTACTGTTGTAGCTGGATTTTCCCTTCGCGCCAGTCGCGCTCCCGCGTAAATATTCTCTTCTCAGCCGCCCATCTCGTCTGGCTGCCTCTCCCAAGGGGACTCTTCTTGCGAAACTGGGTATGACATTCACCACATAGCCCAGTCTGTGTAACTTAGGATATGTAGAAAAGACAGACCCTTCGAAGCACCTGATAACTTCTACACTCGGAGCGACTTTCTAATGATATCGTACCACGTCTTACTAGGCCCGGACCTGCTCGTCCTCCCAAGAATTCGAGTTACATCTGTAGCACCCCCCAGACTCGTGTGAAACATGGCCGACGATGCAGGAGAGGAGTTCGTTCTTCCTTCACAAACAGATTCGCAGAGGAGCTCCCAGAGGGACCCGTATCTCCCCGCCCCTTCGTCACCGGCCGGCCGAAGAAGACACCAGAGGCGGACAAGGCGCAACAGCATGTCCGACCCTCCGGACGAGAACGCATCGCTGTTGCGGTCGTCGCGCTCCCGCATACGCGTGCACGGCGGCGCTGAAACCCCGAATCGCCCGGGAAATATATCGAGAAACCCGAGTTTTCATGGTCCGTCCCGTCCATCTGCACCCATTCCACAGATATCTCCACAGATATCCGGGGGCTCCCTGCCGCATGCGAATGTTAACACCCCTGATAGGCACTACCCACTACGGTTCTACCAGGAACCACCACCGACACGAGTCCTGGAGCCACAGAATAGTTCAAGCCCTCACAGACCGACAGGAGTCGATGACCGAGTCCAAGCTCTCCATCGCGCCGGACGAACGCATTTGGTACGATCAGTTCACCTGCACCGACTGGGTCCACGACGGCATCGCAGACTCGTATCGAATCAAACAGCTTCGAAGCCGCAAAGACTGGCGCGGCAGGCTCACGGTACTGTTCGACGGTGCCCAGGGCTGGATACTCAGTGCCGTGGTCGGTGTCTTGGTAGCTGTGTTGGCCTATTGCGTCGACGTAGCGGAAACCACCATATTCGATTTCAAGGATGGGTACTGTGCTAGAGCGTGGTATTTGAACGAGAAGGTGAGTGATTAAGCCAAGCCCCATCGCCTATACGTCAGCACTCACTGACCTGTTCGTCATAGCGATGCTGTCCACACGGATTATGTACGGATTGGCGCTCCTGGGATGAAGTACTCGGTGGCCGCCCGTTTGGGCAAAAGTGGACTGAATTCGTCATCTACCTCGTTGCGGTTATCACGCTCTCTGTGATAGCCTGTCTTATGACTCTGACGACGAAGACGGTCGTTCCGTCCGCATACCGCATGTCTACGCTGGACGAGAATCTGGCTGCCGAGCTTTCCCAACCCGCCGTAGATATCGACAACGAGGAAGACGAGTCGGTGAGCCCGACGCATATTCCCAAGAGGGAACTGCCGTCCCCGCCCATGGTGTACTACTCCGCCGCGGGGAGCGGGGTGGCAGAAGTTCGCGTCATTCTGAGTGGCTTTGTTCTTCACGGTTTTCTGGGTCTCAAGACACTTATCATCAAGTCTGCCGGCCTTGTGATAAGCGTCGCATCGGGTCTTAGCCTGGGGAAAGAAGGACCATACGTGCACATTGCGACGTGCATCGGCAATATTTGCTGTCGGTTGTTCAACAAGTACGACCAGAATGATGCCAAGAGACGTGAAGTATTATCTGCCGCAGCGGCAGCCGGCGTCGTCGTCGCCTTCGGTGCTCCCCTCGGCGGTGTGCTCTTTGGCCTTGAAGAAGTCGCCTACTTCTTCCCCGCCAAGACGCTGTTCCGCACATTCTTCTGTTGCATCGTTGCCGCCTTGACCCTCAAGTTTCTCAACCCTTACGGCACGCACAAGATCGTCATGTTCGAGGTTCGATACAAGCTTGACTGGGGATGGTTTGAGTTATTTGGATTTATCCTCGTGGGGATCCTGGGTGGTGCTGCTGGCGCTCTCTTCATCAAAGCGTCTCGACGCTGGGCATTGAGCTTCAGGAAGGTTCCTTTGATCAAGAAATATCCTCTCTTCGAGGTTGTTCTCGTAGCGCTGGTAACTGGGCTGATTGGCTACTGGAATACGTTCACCAAGCTGCCGGTTGCGAAGCTCCTATTGAACCTCGCTGCGCCCTGCGACGAAGACGCCAGGGATGAACAGCTGGGTCTCTGTGCTTCGACAAAGGATGATATACCGCCCATCATTCTCTCGCTTCTCGCCGCTTTCGTGATCAAGGGCTTTCTTACCACCATCACGTTTGGAATCAAGGTCCCTGCGGGCATCTACGTGCCCTCCATGGTGGTGGGCGGCCTCATGGGTCGCACCATCGGCCACGCCTTTCAATGGCTCGTCCTTGTTACGCCGGACTGGTCGATATGGGGCGGCTGTGCTCTGGTGCGGCAATCCACATGCGTGCAGCCGGGTGTCTACGCTCTTATCGCTGCCGGTGCCACCATGTGCGGCGTAACTCGACTTTCCGTTACCCTTGCCGTCATCCTCTTCGAGCTTACGGGAAGCTTAGACTATGTATTGCCCTTCTCTCTGGGCATCTTGGTGGCCAAATGGACAGCGGATGCTATCGAGCCGCTTAGCATTTATGACCTCCTGACCGCGATGAACTCGTACCCTTATCTGGACAACAAGCACAAGCCCATCTTTACTGGCGAGCTTGCGGATATCGTTTCACGAGTACGGCGCGAACGGGTGATCGACATTACCGACTCGCCGCTTGTCCCTGCAAGAACGTTGAGGGCCAAGCTTGAGTTGTTACATAGGGCCGGCGAGCTGGATGGAGGACTTCCCATATTGAGGGAGAACATCCTCGTCGGGCTGATGCCGGCCCCGGACCTGGAATACGCCTTGGACAACCTCCAGGACGAGAATTCGGATCTCTGTCTTATGGCAGACATCCCAAGGATAGACGATGACGACGATGACGAATACCATGATCCTACCGATTTCACGCGCTACATAGACCCGGCACCGGTGGCTCTAGACATCAAGTCGCCGATGGATCTAGTATACGAATGCTTTGCTAAACTCGGCCTTAGATATATATGTGTGCTCAAGAATGGGCGCTACGCAGGCATGGTAAGTCCAATCCCAGTTTCTCGAAATTCTACACTGGCATACCCCTTCTAACACTCGTCTAAGACACACAAGAAGCGATTCGTCAAATATGTACGGGAGTTGGAAGAGGCAGAGCACGCGCTATAGATCTGTTCTTATATCCTTGCCTCTATTTGACACTAGGCTCACTCATATTTCCTTATTGCGGGTGCATTCTAGAGTTGCTTCCCTCGAGCGCAATGTCGGCATTTTCTAGCATATTGGAGTTGAGGCATCGCATGAGTTGGTGTTAGCCAATGTCCTCTTTCTTTTCAGCGCAGCATAATCGATCCTCTAGATGCTTTAGGTTAGGTCAGAACGGAATTTGCAAAGGAAGCAAGTTGCGATTGCAAAATTCACTCCAACGGAAACAACCGGCAGCGACTGTCTTAGAGCCGTGTACGCGGCCAGATATCCAACAATTGGTGATTCCAAAACTTGCTCGGTTAGCTCAGTTGGTTAGAGCGTCGTACTAATATTGGGTCCTCTCGGGTCTAATACCAAGTAAATGCGAAGGTCATGAGTTCGACCCTCATACTGAGCAACTTTCCCGAATCACCACTGGATGGATGGGGATCCGATCCTGGTCGCTTCCTCTTCCTCCCCTTCTTTCACAGGGCTTGTGGTTTAGTGGTATAATACTCCCTTAGCATGGGAGTGGTCCGGGGTTCGATTCCCCGCGAGTCCAACAATCTGAGGGGTTCAATTCCTCTCATTGTACCATTCTTTTTTTGGTCTTCCGCAGCGATTCTGTATGTAGTTCGAAGCTTTCTTTGGCGTCATACCGCTGTACAGCATACGCGATTGTGATGTGTGATCTGTCGATGTATTGATACCCTGAAGGATAGACGCGCCCCGATTTCAGGGAAACGACATTTCACTATCGGGAAGCGAAGCCAAACCTAATTCGGCGAGTCTTCCCCACACCTCTCCACAGGGTGGAGTTTCCTGCCCAATTTGTATAGGAAATCTTACTAACAGCAGCATCCTCTGGAACTACTGCTTAAAAGAGTTACTAGCCTTTTGAAGACAGCGATAAGCTCATTACGGCGGCTAAGGATGGCAAAAAAAAGTATGAAAATAAAGTATTGGCCGAGAGGTAATTGCGGCAGGGCCTACACGAGGTGGTTTGCAAGTGGTGAAGTAGGTGCAGGTAGTTTGCAAGTGGTTGGTAAGGTAGGTGGTTTGCAAGTGGTTAGTAAGGGTATTATTGGTCATAAGTAGCAAAAAAGTCAACAATGTCAACAATATGGCGAACTCTTTTGAACAGTGGTTCCAAGGGCTGCTGGTGTTAGTAAAATTTCCTGTACAAAATAGGCAGGAAACTCCACTTTATGGAGCAAAGAGTGGAAAACTGCTGAATTAAGTTTAGCTTTGTCTCTCGATAGTGAAATGTCGTTTCCCCGAAATCAGGGCGGGATAGACGCAGGTCCAGTTTTTTGCCCCTCCTTTTGCTTGACAGACAAAACACACACAGCTTATGCAGGTTGCACTGGTAAACAGAGCTGCGTTGTTGGTGTTCCAAAATGCTTGGATTAGGGATATCTAACGGGAAGTCGCGGATGCTTGTGGTAGTTGTCATGGAAGGAAGGCAGGGTTGAGACATATCCGCATAGAAGGCAGGTAGTACCTACTACCTACCATACCTACTGCTGTACATCGTAACCGAGGGAGCCTCGCATCTCTCAAATTATCCATCATTTCTGATCTCTTATTCGCTTGCCCCCAGGTATAGTTGGAAGTAAGCATATGCGGAAGCTTGCAAGATAACGCCGCGTAAAACCTGGCTTCGACCGAGATTGCATTGCATCGAATTGACTGGCTCGTCGCCTGCAGCCTGCAAAGCAGAACCGCTGCTAGCATGAGATAACTGACCACTTCTGGTCCGTTTTCCACGTAGCACAGGAAGTCCTGGCTGCGAGATGTCGGATACTGAACGGCGGAAGGCGCTGCATACACTGTCACACATAAGAACTGATGTCGTGGTACGGCTGCCTCTTTATGTTCGGGGTATAATAAAATGGGATAAAGAATAGTAGTTCCTGGGGGTCGTATTTCTTCTAACCACTTCTTCACATGGTCGAACCCTATTATTTATCACAGACGTTTAACAAACATCATCATGGCGGCCTTACACATAACGAAGGACATGATGCCGTATTTGGTGGGCAAGAGATGTGTCATCACTGGTAAGTAACCGCCTTCACCCTCGTTGTCCTTCACGCCTCTGGAGTGGTTCTTCTTGAAATTGACTTGTATATACTATCTATCTAACGATCACAGGTGGCTCATCAGGTATCGGCTTAGCAACCGCCAGACTCCTGCGCAGCCTGGCTGCAGAAGTGACCATTCTAGACGTGGTAGAGCCGCCGGCAGACATGATGGAGGAGGCTCTGGACGATATAATAGGGGTGCTCCGTCCCGTCAAGTTTCACCACTGCGACGTCACTGATTGGGAGGAACTGCATGACTGCTTCAACGGTGACGACTGCATACACATGGATTACGTGTTCGCCAACGCGGGCGTCCTCGAAGATAACCACCCGTACTTCGCCGAGGTGTGCGACGAGGCCGGTTCCCTGAAAGAGCCGGACTACTCGATGATGGACGTGAATGTCAAGGGGGTGTACAATACGGTGAAGTTGGCTTGGCACTACATGAAAAGGATGAATCAACTTGACCGCGAGACCGGCATTATATCTTCTCACGAATTGCCGGAAAAGAGTATCGTCATCACGACGAGCAGCACGGCGTACTTTCCCGAGCCGGGCTTGCCTATATACTCTAGCGGGAAGGCGGCGGTAAAAATCTTTTGCCTTTCCATTTTTTGCTCCCCTTGCAAAAGGAAAGTCGAGATTCGAAACACTGACACGTGGTGTTACTTGTTATGCCTCTATACAGCTCGTCGGACTCATCCGCGCCCTGCGCACCGTGACGATTCGCGACAACATCACCATCAACGGCGTCGCGCCCGCGCCCACAGACACGATTATGCTGCCGGGCAAGCTGGCCAGCGCATTCGCGTCCCACGACGTGCCCCTGAGCACCCCGGAGCACGTCGCGCTCGCGCTCGTGTACTCGGCCACGGCCCGACAGGACAGAAAGGTCGAGACGTACGGCAAGGAGCCGCGCGAAGACGTCTTCAAGAAGGGGGAGCGCTGGAACGGGCGGGTCATCATGGCGTTCGGCGACAGGTTCGCCGAGCTCGAGGAGCCGATTGCGGATCTCAAGCCGTTTTGGCTCGGGAGCGAGAACGACAGGTGGTTGAGGGATCAGCAGGCCGCGACGGACTTTCGAGAGGAGTTCCAATGGAATACGAAGAAGGATCGCAAAAAAGACCCTATCTTCGGTTAAGCGACTCCGGTCGAACGTAACTGTTTTTCATGTTAAGCCAGTCAGTTCTGCATGTGGATGTGGTGGATGGCTAGAGGCGCAGATGGTGGGGGGATATGTGTATGTATCAAATTAGGCATCGCAGATGCTGGCTTGAAGCACTCAAAGTTAGAATAAAAAGAGTTTATTCATCCTGAGGTTTAGCGGCCATGAAAGACTCATTTACTTCAATACGTACGCCTTCCGAGAATGTATGTGGGTATCTACCGTATCTACCTAACTACCATCCAGCCATCCCCCCTTGACCAATCTTCATTTTCTCTTGCTGAACACTCTCTCGAGTTTCTTTCCCCGTCATTGACTCGGAATGGTGTAGCATACCATATACAGTGTTGACTGAATCTTTTCTCATAGAGTGAGATACATCTCGCTTATCTTCCTTACACCCTCCAGGTCGCCGCCCGCCCAGCTTATCTGCTGGAGATTATACGCCGCCTCGCGTGTGAGGTCCGTGTCTCCAAGACACACGGACCCGTCGTCTGCACCATCACCTTCACCTCCATCTCCGTCTTTTTCCTTTTCCTGTTCGACCGGCGGCAATGGCGCTGCCTCGTGCAGGGCGCGGCGGTAGAACTCGGCGGCCAGGTGCGGGATGCCGATGGCGTGGTAGCTGCGGGCCATGTTGTAGTGGGCCTCCTGGCGCTCGGCGGGGCCGGCCGAGGGCGAGCCCGTCCGGACCTCGTGGTAGCGGTGCAGGAAGACGAAGCCCTGGACGAGGAGGTACTGCCGGTTCTCGGACTGGCGCTTGAGCGCGTAGTGGATGTAGCACTGGCCGACGCTGAGGAGGATCATCTGGTTGGTCGGGTCTATGCTGTATGCTCGTAGGAAATAATCTTTAGGATAGGGGTGGAAGTTATCATCATCAGTATACGATTGATTCTCTGCTCCTCACTCAACTCGAAGACAAAAAATGGGGGGGGGGGGCACAATTAAACTAACTGAGAGCATATGTGAAGCTATTCGATACGAACAAGATGTGACCGTAAAGGACGAGGAGCGTGACGTCAAGTTCTTTGGATGAGTAGGTCCGGCCCGTGTTGTTCTTGCCCTCCTCCTCTTCGCTGTCCTCGGCGCCGTTGGAGGTCAAGGCTCGGTCCATGAGCTTGATTTGTCGCAGCATGTACTTCTGCACGGGCCCCGAGGCATACCAAGACGCCGGAGACTGGCACAGTCTGCAGAGGGCAGCGAACATACGGAATGGGTCCGTATCAAACTGTCGGTCCCTCATGAGGAACCGGGCCGCCGCTACGCAGGTCTCCTCGTCTCTGGCACGTAGGGCACAAGCTATTCCCGAGTTAGCAAATAAAGTGTGAATCTATTTTACACAAACTGAGGGTACTTCACCGGCCCATGTGACATGAATCAGAAACATGTCCTCTCTGTTTTTTGCGAAGACTTCGGCATCGCGTGCAGACTCGCAGACCTGATACGACTCTTGGTACCTCTCAAGCTGGGCGAGCCCGAGGGCATACTCGAGGAAGAGGTCCAGCCACTCGCTAAAGGAGACTCCTCTGTAGCTGACGGCGGTTCGCTCGCCTAGTTGCCGCTCACTGTTGGGCCCATACGGGTTAAGGTCTGAGAATAACTCTCGTCAGTCATCTGTCTGGAAACATAGCAGCCATCTGACGGATATCCTATACTTACTATGCGACAGTCGCTCTTTCATCTCGATCAGGTTCCGATTCCTCGAAACGCGGACTTGCTTGTATTCTTCGATGCCCAGATGGGTGAGGAACTTCTCCCATGAATAGAAGCCCTTGCACGCCCTGAAATCGTCGACAAGCGCCTTAGCAGCCTGCATGAACGTCTCCGAGGGGCCAACCCGGCAAGCGTTCGCATGATGAGACGCCCGCGTGCTGTGGATCGTCCTCCACGCAGCAGCGAGCTCTTCTGCCTTCCGTTTCTCTTCCAGGGTAACCTCTTCAGTTCTACCAAACACTTTCCTGCGCTGGCGTGGTTGGCGCGCTTTGGCCGTCCCGTCCGTCACTCTGGCAGACTTGGGCTTGAGAGTCCGGGGTGCTCTTGGCTTCAGAGTTCGAGGAGCGCGGTTGGTTCGTGGGCGGCGCTTTCTGGCACCACTGAGACCGTGGCGGTTCTGATTCTCATCTTCACTGTCCGGGTACATGTCGTCCTCATCGTCGTCAATGTACT